CCGAGACACACAGCTGGAAGAAAAGAAAGAAATAAAAGAATCTGTCAAAGAGGAAGAAGTAATAATGGAGGAGGCCGGGTCTTGTATTATTTATTATTATTTTAGAGACGCCTTGATGATATAATGGAGGCCGAGAGATTGAGAGCAATTGAAGAACAAGAAAAGAAAGAGAGAGAGAAGAAGATACAGCGACTGCAGGGAGCAAAAGTAAGGATTATTAAATAATGATGATAGCTGGTGATAATATTGAATACTAATAATAATAGGTGATACACCAGCAAATCGATGAGAGAGAAGTTCAAAGAACATTAGACAAGGAAAGGAAAGATCAAGAGACACAGCAAATGCTAAAGTAAGTTCACATGATAGAACCATCATAACAGAATACAAGTTACAAATACAATTATTATCACATACAAAACATTGTTACTAAAATGCTCCATTATTAGGTACATGGAGAGACTCCAGCAAGAGGATTGGGAGAATCTACTGAAGAAGAAAGAAGCACAGAAGAGCCTAATGGAGGAAGTAACCAAATGCAATCATGTAAGCATTGAGAGTGTGTGCATTAATGATGTGTTTGGGTGTTTAGGAGATTGAAATGTTGAAGTCCAGAATGAAAGAGCAAGAGAAAATGGAAGATCTCAAGATAATGGAATACCTCAAAGATAAACAAGTATAATATGACCTGAGTAATTCTTATTGTTAATATTTTATTATTGTTGTGTTTGTGATAGGCAAGGGAAGAGATGCTGGCTCAAGAATTGGAAAAGCAAAAGATAGAGAAGGAGTTGGAAGTAGCCAGACTGAGGGCACAGCAGGAGAAAGCAAAAGACAAACAAGCAGAAAGAGTAAACACAAACAAGAAGAATAAAATGAGATTATTTAATATTTTATTTATTTTATTTTAGGATGCTTTGAGAGCAAAGAGGAATCAAGAGCAATTCGAGAGAGAATGGAGGAGAAAGGAGAAAGAAGAAGCACAGAAAAAGTAGCACAAAATAACTTAATTATTGTATTTGTTTTATTTATTTTATTTTTTTACTACAGAGCTGAGACAGAGAGAAATCTTTGCGATGCAAGGGAAGAGCAGGTTCGCAATAAAGAGCATTTCCTGGCAGTCCAGGCTCAGAGGGAAAGAACTGAATTTGAAAGAGTTTTAAAGTATGAGAGAAAGGGATGAGGGTAATATAATGGCTTGATTGCTTATCATTCTTAGGAGACAGCAAGAAATGATGTCACAAGATGAAAGACAGAAACAAGAAATGGAAGAGAGGAGAAGAAAACATGCAGCAGATGTCAGAAAACAAGTAATTATAATTTATTTATTTTTACT